ACACAAGAACAAATTTGCGGCAAAAATGCTTTTAATTACTGGTACAGTCGTATTCCGCCTAGGGGTTTAGCTAAAAATTGGGCAGGATAATGCCAGGTAGTTTCTTTTGTTTTCCCTTTCAAGTAATGAGTTGTCGCCTCAGGACTTATAGTGCAATTTGAGTTGCCTATACTTACGTTAGCGTTTTGATTTTTTTCTAAAGATCGCGATACATATTTTTTTAAATATATGCATTATCATTTAAGGTGGAAATAATATCTTTAAGTACCGCCGTAGGAAATACTGTCGGATTTCCAAATTGGTGCTGTAGGTTTTTCTACTCCCATTACAACGGCTGTTATTTACGAAAAACGATTTTTCTATTCATCGATCTTCCTAAAAAACTAAGACCGATATTTAAACTTTTTTTAAGTACCGCCGTTCTTTTCATCATTACAAAGAATATCCACTATCGAGAATTTGTTAGACTTCAACTACAAAAGCAGCATTTCATAAGAAAGTTTAGCTATTTTTCCAATATGGCGGATTGACTACAGAGGAGCCTTAATAGGTAAGATCAAAAGGTGTTTAGAGATCTCCGATTTGCTTTTTATTAATTTGACAGCATATCTCGAGTCAGTCGGTCGAACTATGTCACTGCTAAGGGACGCCGCAGATGTGGTCGAAGCCATCAACATACTTACAGTGGCACCACGCTCAGAAAGTCCCTGAGAGGCCGTGTCCGAGGGCGCTAGAAATATAGACCGTACATTCTGATGCAAAATTTAAAAACACTTTTAAGGGAATTACATACCTTATCAGATCGTAGATCCAAGCTATATGCGTCTTGAAAAAGAAGAGTTTGTATAAAACTGGAGACGGAAAACGTAAAATAAAGCAAATACAAGAAGCAAAGTGTAAACTAAAATAACGTAAAGCGTCAACTGTCAAAACGGAATAATTAATAATTATGGCGCGGAATGTATCACGTCGTTTTGCAGACTTTCTATTGGCCAGCCTGAATTATTTCAAAATAAGTTCGCATATTTTCCGGGGCTTTTCTGGGCATGGTGGCACTTTGTACACAAAAAATTATCCAAGTGCAAAAATATTATTAAGTTGGAATCGATTCGCGATCACTGATACTGCACGGAATTGCTTGTGAATACGAACACCATCAACAACAAGCAGTGTATTCCGCACAAATCGTGAGACGCAATTACTCGATTTAGCGACAATCAATTCTTTTTATATACAGGTGTTCTTGATGAAGGCCAAATCCAAGAGGTCAAACAATCTTAATAAATGCTCCGTTGCATTTTGTTATCTATTCCGCAGAACATATGCCCTGTCTCTCTCATTCATGAGTTATGTATAAAATCGGTTGCAGAGGTTGGCGTGTCGCGTTAGGTAGGGTACGTTAGCGTCGTTACACATGCACTTGATATTTTTAGCTTCCTAGCATGTGCTAGGTAGCTATTGCGATAGCCGTTTTTTGAACCTTTCAAAATTTCATCAAATGTCGACGTTTTAGACCATTTTAAGCAACTTTTAAAGAATAAAATTTTTTTCCGTCTGTATGTACATACGTACGTTTGTTGGCAATTTTCTGAGAAAACGGCTCGACGGATTTTGTTGAAATTTTGTATATATGTTTTAGGCATACCGAACAGAAAAATAACGGGCCGGATTTTTGAAAAGAAATTTTGGAGCGCCGTAACGGCATCGAACTTTTTTTTTCAAATAGCAACCTAAAATTTTTATTCTATTATTTGGAAGACCTTATTTTCCTGTGTACAACCTACAAAAAATTGGGCCGGGTTATATTATCAAAAAACGGAGAAAAAAATTGTCAAAGTCAAAAAATTGTGTTGCATATGTGCAAAACGCAACGATCTTGTTTCTGAAGCAATTTAAACGAAATTTCTATGGTAAGTCCCTGCGCATGCGCAGAAATGCAATTTTCTTATTTATGGAACATTAGCTTCCTAGCATGTGCCTAGGTAGCTATTGCGATAGCCGTTTTTTGAACATTTAAAAATTTCATCAAATGTCGACGTTTTAGACCATTTTTAAGCAACTTTTAAAGAATAAATTTTTCCCGTCTGTAAGTGCGTACATATGATGGCAATTTTTGGTTTCAGCTAGGAAGCTATTCTGTCAAGAATTTGACACCTGGTTTATTAATAGTTTTAAAAGACACGTAATACTATTGTAGGGACAATATTTTGTGTTACCAGAAAGATGTTTTTATTTTTACGCAGGTAAACTTATCCCGAATTTTCCGTACCCATTATTAACCTTTTTTTTTTGGTTAAAAACGCATACAAACTAATTACTACATTTTGTTATTACTAGAATTTATGTTTTGTTAGTTTTATAAGAAGTTTGTGTTTTTTAAATAAAATAATCAAAAGTGGATCGATCATATTTAATATTAACATTTCCATTTGCCTAAAATGGGCTTAGGTAAAGGCTTAGGCAAATGGTATTTAACTGGTGAAATACCATTTGCCTAGTCGAATGGCATTTCAAAACTAAAAAGAACCTTTTGCCCAGGCAGATTCATTTGCCAGGGAAAATGCAATTTGCCTGAACTAACTATTTGCCTACGGCATATACATTCTCATTTTTTATCGTGTTTCTTAATTACTACCAAAACCCGCACTTGCTGCTTCAAATTTTTCGCAAAAAAATAAAGTTTGTGACGAATTTCGAAAGTGTATACTATCTGTCATCGAATGATATAAACAAACAGTGTAGAATTTGAGGAATTTCAGCCAAAAAGAGTAATTACAGTTATTTGTATTTGTAAGGTGCGCTTGCATGTGTGCGAGAAAAAGTGATAAATTATTCCGCTATGGAGGGTTGCTTTTTTATGTAGGTACGTACTCATTTTCTGCTAATTATTAAATTGGAAATTGTATTATTATTTTTAAACTGTAGGTACGTATTGTTTCCAAATTTACAGGTCTTTATTATAGATTCGCGCGCTAGAGATTGTAGGTTCATTAACGTTTTATCACAAAAATTCTTGGAACTTTGATGATTTCCTTATTCTAATAAAAAATGCAGTTTATGTTCATATCGCTTATTTTAGCGGAATCAGTTTTAAACGAATCCTAATTTTAAAGATTCGGTTAGCTCACGCTCCCCAGTCGTAATGAAGCGATCAGTACGGATGATGAACAATCGATACTGTTTGGAAAAATTTCATTCAGCTATACACTGAGCAGAAATTGTAATAATAAATTAAACAAATATACCAAACGAGCTCCTGGGTATGGCTATAGCATGTGCACAACCAAATTTTAAACCTGATGTTAGTTTTGCTTTTATTTAAAGTGTATATGTATGAAATATCATTTAATTGCTTCCATAAATAGGAAAGTTGATACTGCACATCCTACACAAAACCAAATTTGGAAAATAGCGCTACATTTTCTTTTATTCCAAGTGGCTATGTATCAAATTTCATTTAATTCCCTCCATAAATAAGAAAGTTGACACTACGCATGCGCAAAACCAAATGTTGAAACTGGCGTTAATCGATTAGGCTCAACTTTGTTTTATATGACTAAAGCTATGCGCTTGCGCATATTGAATTTGATGCAATTTGTTTCATAACTATGGGGATGTCAAAAGGGCCTACATTATTTTTTGGTCTAATTGGAAAATAAGCGAACGCCAGCACATTTTCGAAAATGACATTTTTCAGTTTTTTGGCCATAACTCTATTTGTAGAGCTACAAGAAACTAAGAGAGGAAAAATTAATCAGCATAAAATTCTGCATAACTTTGCTCGTAGGCGACTTTGTATCTTTCACTGTTTATGAGATTCCTATAGTGAAAATGAAAAAAAAACACCCTGTATATAAATTATGGTTCTTGACTTTCGTTTATTGATGGAAAAGAAATTTCCAAAAAAAATATTCTTGGAAATTCAGAATATTCCCCAAGGGAAAATTCTGTCCTAAATTGTTATGCGTAATTCGCGCCTTCTCACTGGTTTTTCTTGTGCACGTGAAAATTGGTAATAGGGTTCTTAAAAATCTCCTTCCGCTCAGCCGATCAACTGTAGGTTGATTTCTTAAGGTGTCCGCCATTTTGTTTCAATATGGTCGAATTAGCTGATTCACAAACTCGATATTTATGAGTTACACCAACCATTAAAGTTTGGTCGAAATCGGTTTATACAATAGAAAAAGTGCTATCGGGCCGGATAATGGAAGCAAGAGTAGGATGGAAAATACACTTATTGGTCATGAATAATTCTAGTCTTGTTCTTTGTTGTTATATAAGTAATTTCTTTAGACTGTGTACTGTCAATGTCTAACCCTCCGTCCTACATGAGTGACAAAAACCGAGCGAACGAAGCGGCCAACGGGGCAATATCAAGTTATTCATAGTGACTTTTTTTACTTTGGAGTTGGAGAATTATGTTTTGGTCTAATCATTGTCAAGGATTACTGTTAATAATACGTTTTTTAAAATATATCTGATGTTCGAAGGCAAAAATGATAAAGGAAACTAATGAACGTAATTTATTTGGAAAGAACAACAATAGGTGGATTTCGTCTTATATGGAGAGCTATGGAAACCGGGGAATATAGGTACATTATTCTATGGATATGCAAGAAATTCGACCAGTCAAATAATTTGAACGCTTACGCCGTTTCAAAATTCGCCGTATCGGCGCGCACTTCACTCAACATCGCCGACGTAGGGCATGTTCACAAAAAAAAGATAATTTTTTAATTGATAAATACTCTTCGGTCGCGTCGCTCTCATCGCGTGCTTCTATCGCTCCCGTAGGACGGGGGGTAAGTAATGAGGCAGGCTTACCAATGATGTGTTTCAAGTAGTAGATTGCAATTGGAAATTTTGGAATGAATGGTGGGAGAGGTAAGAATATTCTTGCACCTTCAAATTGGTTTCCCCTTTGATAGCTTGGTTTGGGAAATTTATTTACCTAGGGGCTCAGAATTGTCTACTTTCTAATACATACATCAATTCCTTAGGTCGCTGTGCTCGAGCAGGTAGAACAGGAACAGCATATTCATTGATTACACCGGACGAATATCCATATATGTTAGATTTGCATTTATTTTTGGGACAATCTCTGTCGATAATAAATTCGAGTAATCCTAAAGGCAATATTGGATGCATTCCTCAAAGTCTAATAGAAGAACAGCATGGTACTATTATAATGCTTCATGATACAAATCCGGATTTAGTAAGTGTACCTATATTTACTTTTATTGCTTATCTTACTCGGATTGTTATTTAGCTTCAAATTAAGCAAACGGCCGATAAAGCGTATACTAAATATCTTCAAACTAGACCTGTGGCTTCAGTGGATAGCAACCGCCGTGCTAAACAATTCTTAACGAATAAGTGTGGCACTCACGCATTTTTCAAAGCTCAAAATAATGATTTGCAAGAAGAACGTGAAAATATTTTGCAACAAATGAAAAACTATCGTCCTCAAGGTGTAAGTTACTCGCAAGTACATACATGTTGTAAACCTAATTGTTACTTAATTACATTGTAGACAGTATTTGAGGTTTGTAGTAAAACAAAATCGCAAGATTATTTGGTTATGAAAGCTACACGAGCATTTCACAAATCCGCCAGAACGGCGTACAAGAAAAATATGGAAAATCAGTCATCAGTTTCAGAAACGAAATTGGTTGCTCTGCCGGAAAGTACAAAAACTGAAATTGAAAGTGTATTTGATGAAATTGTTACTTCCAAAAAGAGAAAGTTAGATTACTTGAATGATATTAAACCCAAAAAACAGAAAGATGAATATTACATCCCCTATTCGGCACCTGACAAATTTACGGAAGATGGGTTAGTCTGGCTAAATATTTACCACTGCATTAAAAATTATATACTATCTATTACAGAATGGCAATAAATAATTTCCAACGGGAAGCATCACAAGCACAATTTGATTTGACAGCCGATACCACCGAAGACATAAAAAGGGCGAAACAACAAATGCGTTGGGATAGGAAAAAGAAAAAAATGGTAGGAGCCAACAATGTAAGTATAAATTTTGATTTGAATTGCATTGTATTTCACACATGCATGTCATGAATAGGATTTGAAAGTGGGCAAGCTTAAAACCGAAGGCGGAAAATGGATTCCTGCTTCTTATAAAACTTATCGATATGAAGAATGGAAAGAAAAGACTAAAGCTGCTGAAAATGAAGACAATAATGAAGATGATCAATTGAATGATCAAGGAAGATACAACAAACGCTCGCGTTGGGGAAAACATAATGATATGAACAAAAACAAAAAGGTCCAATCAGAGCTGAGGAGTGTCGATCAGATTGTGAAGCAAAGAAAAATTACTGAAAAGAAAAAATTACGTCAGAATAAAAAATTGCGAAAGAAAACAAGAAAGTAATGTCGAGGGCTGTTGTTGTTCTATGTAAAATAAATACATTTTGACAGATTTATTTTCTAGGTACATGTAGTTTTTTTTAAGTATGTAAAGCGTTCAACAATTTCTGCCGCTGTTCGGGAAAGAAATGCAGTCGGATCTTTTTTTGACTTCTCAAAAACCCATTATTTTGATGTTGCAACGCTACCAAATATCAGCTATCCTCGCAAATATCTTAGGCCGAGTTTATAGTGAAGCGGCGAGCGCCGAGGATAGCGTAGCAATACGAGGATAGCGGTACATGAGCGATGATAGCGTCGAGGCTGCAAAATTATAGTGGAGCGTGGCTGCTCACTTCTAGGTGAAGGGTATTATCTGCAAAGATGTCGCGGGGAAAGCTTGAAATGAAGTTTATAACTGAAAATAGTTACACAAAATTTGAAATAATTAATAGTTTGTTCTCTCCCGATCATTCGCATCGCGTTCGAAAATGGTCAATACATCCAATCAATAAAGACCGCGAGACTATTGGAGAGTTGCCCGTTTGTACAAAAAGTTAAGGAACCATCCCGATAAATTTCGGCAATATGTTGGTATGTCAATATCGACATTTGGGCATACGCACAAAACTGCATAATCCAGACTCCAGAAGTAAGTGAAAGAGGAACGCGTGTTGTTCGTCGTAAGCATAATAAACGCACGGAAGCGACCGATACTTTCCGAACACTATGTAAACGGCTTACAAATTAAAACATTTTTGTTTCTATCATCACCGCTAGCGGCATCGCGTTTCGCAAAGCTATCTTCACGTTTTCACTATAAACGCCTACATTAGGTTCATTCCGTTTGTTTTCATGGAGGTGAACCTCGATCTAAAACCGCGATGCTATCATCGACGCTCGCCGCTTCACTATAAACTCAGACTTACAGTGTTCACTATTGCCAATTTTCTTAAATAATAATAATAATGAAATTGTTACAAGTATAATATCGTTAAGTCAAAGTTGATTAATGGTATAATTCAATCATTTGCGGTTTCAAAATATTTAAAAAAAAATTCTTACTCTTAATGTCTCTCCCTTGAATATATTTATTTCGCAATTCGCAAAGTGGGCGCCACTACTGAGTAGCTACCATTCATATTTTGAAGTTCTATGGGCTGGAATATTGTACAAATGTTTGAACCTTGTATTCACGCAATGCAAATCAGATCGCAAAATCAACTGGCTGTAGAAGTAACATTGACTTTTTTTAAGGGTTTGTATTACACCTTTTACTGATGCTGCAGTAAGAATTGGCTGCAGTAGTTTTAGGGGCCAAATATTTTCGAGCGGCCCTGGCAAGATGCAAGGAAATTTGTATTAAATTTCAAAAAATATTTTTTACAAGTACAAATTTAGAATGTTACAATACTTTTGGTTTAGATAAAGGTACAGGAACTTTATCTTAGAGCAAAACGGATAACCATTCACACGTTTGCAGTGAATTTGTTTTTAGATCTAGTTGAAAAGGCCGTATTCTGTGGTTGAACAGTTGGGTGCATCCATAAATAAATTTTGTGCATTTGTTTTAAATAATAATGAGTTGGAGTGGCTATCTGCTCAAATTAACATACATGTAGGCGACATGGTGTAGACTGATGGTCTGTGGGTGAGACGACGAACGCTTCTACAGTGATTAATTAGCTATCAACAATTTAACGCTAAAGCTCGTAGCACAGAATACGGCCTTCTCAGAATAGAAACAGCAATGTTACAAATTTGTATTAAAGTCACTAAATATAAATATATATAAATATAATGGCGGATGATTGCGGTACTTTCTATATCTAGTGACTTTAATTTGTATGGTATTTTGGCGGACCCTGGTGGGTGTACTGTGAACTAAAGCATCAAAATCAGAGTAGCGCCATCTGGTGACCAGCTTCTAAATCCATGAAGTAATTTCCCCAATTCGATCTAAATCACAAATATAGATAAAGAATACACAGTTGTTAAATTGCAAGTATATTTAGATACAATCACATTACATTATTTAACACAGACATCTTAAATTACATGTTTACAAATTACATGTAAAACTCAGAAGTAAGTGCAACTTACGCTTTGTAGAAGTTAACACTTTGCAAAAAGATCCTTACCTACGTAACGAGTTGTCCTACGAAATATTTGGTTTTAATTGCTGTTTGAACTACATATTTTTGTTAAAAAATATCTTTAGAACTAAATTTTTTGTTCCAAGAGGTGATAAAACCGTTTCAGCAAATTGTCACACAAGTTTTTGACAACAAATGTTAACTTGATCCTGGTGCTTACTGGTTACTTGAGAAGCGAGGGTGGAAGTTGTTGAATTATCTAAAACGAATTACAATATAAGTATCTACATCTATATAAATATAAAACTCAAGTCTACACCCTTTTGCGCCTATAGGTACAGTTGGTAATAATTCTGCGTCAATTTGTACCTGTTACTTACCTTGCATAAATAGGAAAGAATTAGTAACAGCACATTTCAACCCTCTTCGCGTTTCAAGCATAAAACAAGCTGTTTCAAAATGTGGGAAACGATGCCTTTTTGATATTTTATTGTTACAATCCGACACACAACACTTTTTACGGTCACATAACTTGTTCATATTTTAAATCTTTCAAAAGTCAAAATTGACATGTGTAAAACCTGTGCACGTATAAAATCGACGGTAATAGTTATTTACATATGAGTATGGTAAATCAAGGTTTACGTTAACGAGATTTCGAAACGAGTAACGTTAACTGATTTAACATACAAATAATGTAAAACATTTTATCGCCGACTAGCATTAGAATGCTATGATTATGAATGTCAAAATCATTAATAATCCGTCACTTTATGGCACGTGCCATAAAGTTGTGCCATAAAGTCGCCTTGACAACAAATTTAGGCTGATTGTTGATATATTATTTATTAATGTTAATAGTAATAGTACAATTTGAATTTCCGGAAATTGAAATGTCTGAACTAGATTGAAGAACACATTCATTTGTAGTCGATGATGCACTAGTAATTCCAGATACTGAGATAGTTGATGAAGATGCCAAATCCCTGATTCTCTGGCAGCTAACAGTGTTAACAGATCCTAAGGTTCTAGCAATTTTGTTCTTGTTTTCTCGTGAATCCGCCACATACCTACCCTTCCGCAACAGCATCGCTTTTCCAGTCACCATGTCTTTTCAATGTTCGAATGTCTGCGCCACTATCTGCAAGGATTGTAGCAGACGTTCTGCGAAATGAATGACCAGTGAACTGATCTGCATTAGGAAGGTTCAGATATTTGGCAATTTTACGAGGAATTTGACCAAAGGTATTGATGCCAATGGGATTACACGTACACTTTCCCGCACCATAGAATAGAAAGAACTTCTCTATTTTAACATGCTTTGGTCTTAAATTTATGTACTTTTTAATGAGCTCAGTGTAATTCATGCTATCATCATTTAAAATTGTGAATGTTCTGGGTCGATGTGTTTTCGTATCTTTGAGATTCACCACAAAAACTGCACCCTCTTCTTGGACATCGCTTACACGTAAATTGTAAAACTCTATCCTTCTGCAAGCACCAAATAATCCAAATATTGCAACAACCTAAAATCATACTTTTATAGTAACCTTTTGTAGCAATAAGAGAAACCCACCCACCTTCATAAGGAGATATTGTTCGTCACAAGCCGAGGTCAAAAAATTTATTAACTGATTCTTTGAGAACACCAAAGATTTTTCTGCTGAATACCCAACTGAACACTTTTTTAAAAAAGCAGAAAGTTTAGAAAACTGGCTAATGTCAATGTCATTTTTTATTCGTAACATACATTTCAGCTTGGAGTACATGCACCACAATGACGAGGACTTGTAATTTTTTGACTAAAACGGAAGAAACAATAATTACAATTAGGTATATAATTATTTACAGTCTAATTGATCTACCTGATCCAGAAAATACGCCAGCAAAACCTTCTCTGTCACAATTTCGGCATTATTGTTCCGCATCCAGTGACAAAATTTTTCAAATTCCTTTTTGTAAAAGTCTTCTGATTTCTTTGGACACAAACTGGATTCCGCTTCTTCCGCTTTCTTTAAAATTGCATCACACAAACTCAAATCTTCCGCAAAATTCATGTTTTGTGCGTGTTTTGTGCAAATGGCGCCGCTTTATTTATTTATTAACAAAAGCGAGCTATCAAAAACCATGGTAATGTTTAAAACCGCTTTGATGTAATTTTAGATTTAGGTATTTCAGATTTAAGTTTATCGATCAGAATTTTTGAAAAGTTCTAGTCGGCGATAAAATAGCGTATGAAATTTGTTTATAATGCAAGGGATTATGACATTCGTGATATTACCGCATTCGCTTCGCTCATGCGTTAAACATTCACTCATGCCATAATCCCTTGCATTATAAACTAGTTTCATAATATACTATTATTTCATACTGCTCTATTTCTATTAAAATACCATTTTGATTAGAATGTTGTAGGTACACATTAAAATAAAAGCAAAAGTCGATCACTTGATTTGTTTGATCTGACAGTAGTTTGACAAATATCAATATCAATCAATCAATCAAATATCACGTTTAGATGGATTTCAGTTGCGGTTGCTAGGCAAAATTTCCAGTCTGGTAAAAATTTTCAGTCTGGTAAAATACGATTTACCAGACTCAAATCAGTCTGGGAAAGCGGCGATTACTAGATAGTATGAAATATAGTAGATTGTATGACAAGTAGGAAAAGTTGCATATTCCTGGACGATGATAGTGATTGTAAGCCGAGGCGTTAGCCGAGGCTTACAACTATCAGAGTCCAGGAATATACTTTTCCTACGTGTTGTACATACTATTTTTTAGTCGATAGCGAATAGTTAAACACCAAAAATACCATTTCAAACTAAATTATTTTCACCAATGGGTGTTTACAGTATAGTTGAATTCCGCAGTTCTAATTTAATAAGCGTGTACCTGAAACCATAAAACATTTTTTTGGACAGTAAAAGTTTATTTAAAAATAGAGGCTGATTAGCAAAAAAATAATGAACATGTGCGGTTTTAAAGGTTTATTCAAAACGATATGATTGTGGCGGGCTCTGTGACGTAATAAGCCCGACCAATCAGCTCCTAGAACCATTCAGATGACATAACGACTTGGCAATATTGCAGGAGAATGGCATTTATAACTTGCGTCATCTGTCACAGGCACTTGTCACTTTCGTGCTAGATGCAGTTAAATATCCCTCTCAAAACGTCAAATGTGACAAACGTCAGACCCTCGCGTAAGGTTGCCAGCTCACTTCTACGTGATTGGTTGTAGGTTTGTGACGTATTTAGTCTGAAGCGTTTCAAATTCGGACTAAAAACACAGCTTTTCAATAATTTATTTTGGGTTTATTTTACTCGCAAATAAAAATTGAGGACACACGGGTCTTTTTATTTTTAATGTACTTTGTGGATCAGAAATAAAAAATGAAGGCGGGATGACCCCATTGTCATTTGGTATAATGTCATTGGTCTAGGCTTGTATGCGATAGGTGCGCATCATGTTTGTTTTCCGAGCATGCATTGTTTGAACGTTACCATGGACATGATGTAAACAAATAGAAAATTTTTTCGTTTGTGTGAATTTATAATAGTAGTCGATGTGCAATATTAATATAAAATGGATATTGACGGTGATTTTGATGAAGATCTATTTTGTGTAACACCACCTGAAGTTTTGGAAGCAGTCAATGAAGCTACTCCAAACCTGTTGCCAACTAAATCGAGGGAAAAGTATGAAAATGCTTATCAACGTTTTATGGAATATAGATCAAGTTAAGAGCAGTCGAAAGTCTTCACCAACGAACAAATCGGAGAATTTATGATCAACGCTCCAGATGATACTTACCTCATGGCTAAAAGTAAGATTTTAATTAAAAGGCCTGAAGATTATAACTTAATTTTTTTAGGTATTTCCGGAATTTATGGCGCCTGTCGGCGAGAGGAGTTATGTAACTTAAAGCTTGCGGACATTGAGGATTTGGGTTCACAACTATTGGTGAAGATTCCATGCAACACAGCCAATAAGCCACGGTCGTTTATAGTAAACGACACTTATTTAGGAACATACCGTAAATATGCAACCGTTCGACCATCCAATTTTGCGTGCAATACGTTTTTCTTCAAATACCATAATGGTCAAAGAAGCAAGTAGCGGGGGGTGCACATCTCCAAAACTGGACTATCAAATTTGATTGGAAACTGCAATAATTGTACTATTGATGTACATATTAATAGAAAATAAACTATGCATTTGTGTGTATAACTGTTCTTTTACTTTTTCATGCTCACAAGAGTATAGATATTTTCCCGTACTGTACGGGAATGAAGATTCCCGGACAGTACAGAAATCACCTGCTTTGTGATGACATAAACAAAACAATAATATGCCATTTTTCCGGCTATCGACTAAAAAAAATATTTCCTGTAACGAGCAAAACTACAGGTTTTGCAAAAAAATATTTGAGTCTGTGATAAATAGTTCTCCATACAACCACGGGAAACGCTGTAATCGGTGACAATTTAGCGCCATTTATGTTTCTGTTCTGTGAAGGTCTTATTCTGTGGCTCGTAGTTACAAAATGTCACGCGTGACGTGTACAGGATCGTGCGTAAACACTTGAATTTTGGCGCCACCTTAGACCATATAGTACATGGACTGCTAATCTTAGACCATATAGTACATGGACTGCTATTCGCCCTATGCTTTCAATACAAAATGGATGGTCACGGATAGAGGGCACTGTAGTCGTGGGTATGTTACAGTGACTTTATAAGGACAGTGGCGACAACTTATCATAATCCGCCATATTGGAGCTAAAAAATTGATTGTAAGATCAATATACCTTGTCATGTCAAATTGTGAGCGTAGAATAATAAATGTCAGTTTCATTTAAGTAAAGATTCTTGTTCAAAACGAACGGCGCAGAAATGATCGTTTAAAGCTTTGCAGAACAACCTATGGGAAAACAAATGCCTCCCAAATTCAAAAAGGTATGGGTATATGGAAAACAGTATAATAAGTATGAAATATGGTGCAATATCCAAAATGTACATATAAAAATCATTAAATTGTGTTTGACATTTCAGTGTCTTCTGTCACTTCTTGTCCCCTGTCGCGTGTTGCTCCTTCCGGACTTAAAAGTATTTCTTTAGTCTCTTAAATGGAAGACAAAACACGTTGATCTAGTCCACGGAGTACAAGAGATCAATATTCCATGTGCTCCAGCAAACATGAAACCAATTCAAACGTATTTACGATCACAAATGAATTTGCTGCTAAATTTCGGATAAGCTGCTTCTCTAACCAGTTTTCTATCTAAACTCATTAGGTATTTAGGGCTTCTGAAAAAAATTTTACATCAATTACCAGTCGTAAGGTTAGGCACAGTTTTACATCTAAAAACACTAAGCGGATTACATACCTTATAATATCGTAATAAATCCAAACTATTTGCGTCTTTAAAAATCGAGTTTATATAAAACTGGAGACGGAAAACGTAAAATAAAGCAAATACAAGAAGCAAAGTGTAAACTAGTAACATGAAGCCGTGACAATTACAGGTGACACTGTCAAAACAGTATAATTAATAATTATAGCACGGAGTGCACCGCGTCGTTTTGAAGGTTTTCTATTGGCCAGTTTGGAATTTAGCTCCAATATGGCGACCGGAACCAACGACCAATCAAAAACGAGATACCCTGTTGTCGCCACTGTCTCTATAAAGTCACTGTAGGGTATGTGAATCTCAGGGTAAACTAAAGTCGTGTAAACACCACTAGGATCGCTTAAAGAGCAGCTTTATAGTAACCCTAACCGCGTAGTACGGGAAGCTTTAAGTGCTCTTCATTATTTGCTATACGTCCACAAATAAGAATAAGTTTGCTTTTTTTGGGATATCTAGGCGATTAATTAATTGACGTTTGTTAATTTATAGGTTGACAGCTGCTAATTGTAACCAAAATATGGTCAAGGACATCGCCTGGGTATGTGAGTTTCAGGGTAAACGAGTCTATCCGAAGTTGTCCGATTAGACACGATTTGAGACTGTCAACCTATAAATTAACAAACGTCAATTAATTAATCGTCTATATTCCAAAAAAAGCAAACCTATTCTTATTTGTGGACGTATAGAAGATAATCAAGAGTATTTAAAGCTTCCCGTACTACGCGGTTACTATAAAAGCTACTCTTTACGTGATGCGAGTGGTGTTTACACAACTTTAGTTTACCCTGAGATTCACATACCCACGACTACAGTGCCCTCTATCCGTGACCACCCATTTTGTATTGAAAGCATAGGGATAATAGCAGTCCATGTACTATATGGTCTAAGGGCGCCACACGTTAGCAGGTGACGTAATGCGCAGTAGAAAACGCGTTTGAGAAAAATAATGAGCATACCGTGTGTAAAGCCGGATTTATAGTTCCGTATCCGTAAGAACGGAACCGTAAAATCTTACGTTAACGAAAATTATACGATTTATAGTTACCGTAGTGGTAAGAGATGAGCTTGCGCATTAGTGCGAAACGAATTCTGTCATTGTATGTCATCTGTCAGTAAGAGTAACGTGCATTTCAAAATAATAATAAAATAACCAACAAAGTGTCAATAATTATTGTCAATAAACAGAACGAACGTCAGGATAAACTCAACTGTTTGAATTATCCGAGTACTACCGAAGACAAGCGCGTTAGCACGATTTACCGTAAGAAATAAAGCCGGATTTATAGTTCCGTAGCCGTAAGAACGGAACCGTAAAATCTTACGTTAACGAAAATAATACGATTTATAGTTCCGTAGTGGCAAGTGGCAGCTTGCGCAACGAATTCTGTCATTGTATGTCATCTGTCAGTAAGAGTAACGTGCATTTCAAAATAATAATAACCAACAAAGTGTCAATAATTATTGTAAATAAACGAAACGAACGTCAGGATAAACTCAACTGTTTGAATTATTCGAGTACTCCCGAAGACAAGCGCGTTAGCACGATTTACCGTAAGAAATAAGATTTGGGCATTTCCTACGTACCGTAACCGTTCTAACGCAACGTTAACGCGAACTATTAAATGTTCACGCGCAACAAGTAGGGTTAATTCCAAACGTTACGGTACGGCGTTGCGGGTATGGAACTATAATTTCAGCTATTGTAAGCGTATCGTGTTCTGTGGTCCTAATTCAAGCTCCCGGTTCCGATAATTTAGACACCTTCATGTCATCA